AGCGGGTGAAACCGCTGACGGGCAGCTAGTATCTCATAAACCGTGATAGTAAGACAGTTAAACTTTTAAATTTAAATTACAGATGTTGTATTTCTGTTACCATTGCGGCTCCCATACAACTAACATGATTTTTATGCCATTTTTACACATATGGTACGTTCTCAATTTCGATGTTTGTCTCATAGTTAGTATTTTATGCGTGATTGGTACGATTGGAGCAGGCAAATGATGATGGTGATGACGATGATGATGAAATAACCTGGAAAACCCCAGACTACCGCCGATGATTCCTCCTGTTTCAAACTCTGAGCGCAAGAGTCACACCTTGATATAGGTAGTTGGCTACAGTAGGTACCAACGCAACGCCAGTGTTTCTTTAAAATTTTATGTGAAGGAGCAAACCCAGCTTAACCCATGTCGATGGATGCTTGTTTCTTTCTATTTCTTCTAATTAGTGAAATAATCACTTCTGTTTTGTTTTCTTATTAAAAGTTGTGTAGGTACTATACTTTTAAAATTCCCTTAGGACCGGTCCGGTATGCTACAAGTCCCGTTAAGGTACCTGCAAAAGTGATAGGCCTGCAGAAGCAGCCCATCACAGTTGTACAGTTTTTGTAGCTGTTTCTGCACTTAGTTCCTACTATAGATGTCGCTGCAGGTTTCTAAGACACGCTATCGAAATGTTCTTTTGAAAACTATTGCAGGGGTACTTGACACCGACCTGATACAGATTTAATCCAGAGCGAAGTAAGGCATTCTAGAGTAGAATTCTGAACGCAGCGAAGGATTCAAAGTACGTCGCCCGAGCCAAAATACAGGGTGTAAGGGACAGGTCTCCGAATACTGATAGGGTGCATTCAGACCATGAAATTGAACAACTTGCCATAGAAATAAATTTCAGGAAAAGAAAAAATGTTTTCGGCTTCCTTCCCATACAAAATCACGATCAACTGATTGCATTTACTATGGGAAGTCAAAAATGTTTTACATTTCCTGAAATTTATTTCTATGGGAAGTTGTTCAGTTTCATGGTCTGAATGCACCTTCAGTATTCGGAGGGCTGTCCTTACACCCTGTATATTTGCGCCCGAGTAATTCACTCCACTTTCCATCACCCTCTATGAGAATATAAAAGGCGCCTCATATTTTATTGCAATATCATACTTTCACTGTTACTTGAACTAATTTTTAATAAGATAAATAAAATTCTATCAATCGTGTATTTTTTGCTGAAAATTACGGATTGTAATTCGCGCGTAGGTATATTTTTTTTAGTTCTGTCGGGGCGGTGCGACTATGGGCCGTCGTCCCATACAACCTTTATTCGAACAATATTTGCATTCCATTTCTTTGGCGCTGACTGAACATCAAGCAAGATGTTCTAAATTCAAAGTAGTTTTATTCGAACTTGTTAAGTTCTTAATTTAAAAAGTGCGAATAAAAGAACTTTGCGGCGCGTTCTTTTCGAATAGATAGGATGAAAACAACTTTCCCCAAGGAACATACCTAGTTCAAAATAAAAGGAGTAAAAATAACTGCAAATATTTTAAGGAGTGAACCTGCCCATGAAACTGAACAACTTTCCCCAGGGAACATAGGTAGAAATATGAAAAAAAATTTGGACCTTCTATACAAAATGTTTTGGTGGCCCAGGGCCAATTTTTTTCAAATTTTGACCTACTTATGTTTCTTAGGAAAAGTTGTTCAGTTTTATGGACTGGTTTACTCGTTAAAATATTTGCAGTTATTTTTTTACATACTGTAGGAAAGGATAATTGTACCTCCCATACAAAATGCTCCAGCCCATAGCCGACCGTGTTAAATTTGTAGGGAAGGTCAATTATTTTTTCATTATTCGACCTATGTTCCTTGGGGAAAGTTGTTCAGTTTCATGGACTGGTTCACCCCTTAAAATAATTTGAGTAGTTTTTTTACATCTAATACTTATTCCTCTACCGCACGCAACGCGATATCGATTTACGTGCAAACTTATTTCAAGTACAGTGGCAACCCCCCCTTTTAGGGGTTGATTTTTTTTAGCCTATAACCTGGTCAGTAACTTTCCCGACATTTTGGTATAATTTGCATCAAAATCGGTTCAGTAGTTTTTGCGTGATGCTTCCTCATACAAACAGATAAACAGAGAAACAGATAAACAGACAAACAGACAAACAGAAAAAAAATCTAAAAATTGCTGAAACGTGTTCTGTTATCAATTTTAAGTATCACCAAACACTTTTTTTTGGAAAATCTTCTATGTACAGACTTTCCACCTTCTACAACTTTATTATATGTATATAGAGTATAGATTGTCTGAGAAAGTACCATATGTTTTGTCTTTTCTTAACTCACATACACAACGTCCGTTTTGACGTTATTATTGCAATGCAAAATACGATGCATGCCCAACGCAACGGTGCGTTGACGGATGCGTCTGTCAAATGGTTTAGTATGTGTAAAGCCGCGTCGTATTCTTAGCGACCTCTGGGAGCTACAATACGAAGCTCACTCAAGTGGTTCACAAGCAAGCAAGACGCAACAGAAGTTCTCAACCGTCCGTAAGATGGCGCCACGTGACAGAACAATGGGTCTAAAACGCTGTGTCGAAGTATTAACCGCGCACCGCATATATACAACTTCCAAAACCCAACCAGATGGACCAGTCATTCCCCTGGCCACAAAATCCGGCCAGGCGGGTAGCTACCCTTTTCCCGACACCACCTGGATTCCTTCCTTCTGCTAACGGGTTATACCTCCTGTCACTCGCCATAAGGGGTTAAGGTGGACATTCGTATTTTCCTAATAATGCTGCGATAGCGAAGCGCAAAAATGTCGTCAGAACGGACGTCATGTGTATAAAGCGCCTAAGATTCGTTTTGTTTGAACAATTTAGGGTCCCTAAGTCAATTTGACTGGTCAAATGAATTCGAATGAGCCACGGTGTAAAATTGATTGGTTGCATTCAATCGTAACAGCAGCTCAAAAAAACGAAGCAAACTGACGCGTTTATAACTAACTACTGGTTTTGGGTACAAAGCATTTTTTCCGACCCTACCTAGACGCGCCAACCACATATATTTATTTGTGGTTAACCTACTTCAAAATGCCAACTTTTGGTAATTTATTTGAAAATTATTTCAAACTCACCTTATATTTTTCTTTTGATGGAACGTTCAAACGGTATAATTTTATAATTCAATGGCACCACAAATAACATAAAGAAAGATTTCTAATCATTAATTGTGCAGTGCCTACTTGGAAAACTTTAGTATCGCACACCGCCAATAAATACACATCACAAATAATATGTTTTTGCTACTAAAAAAATGGCGTGCACAAGTATTCGATTTGTCAGACTTTGAGACAGAGGATTTAAAGTATGATGTTCTATTCAAACCAATGATAGTTTGTCTTAAAATTATAGCGTGCGTCCCAACATTACAAAAAAAGCCATATTGGATAATTCATATTTCACTAAGATTAGGAATATATTTTCTTGGCTTTTGTGTTATTTTATATAGCGTGTTATTCCATGACTTACACGGCGATATCAGAAACTTGCTCACTAATATAAACTATATAGTGATTTGTGCAGTCATAACATCAAAAAAATATACATTGTTGAACTATCAAAAAAATTACTACGACTTGATGAATATTGTGAAAGCGGATTATGCAAAAGTGTTTCAACTAGCGCGCGAAGATCAATTGATATTACTAGGCTACGCCAAAGAGGAAAACTGGTAGTATATTTATGGACAACCGCGGTTATTCTGTATGGTATAGTTTCTTTACTTATGCCAATTGTGCTTATGCTATACTATCTTATAATTGGCGAGTTGCAATTTGTTCCTTCTATGTTATTGACTCTACCACCCATATTTGACGTAATGAACGATGTCTTTAAAAATTGTTGCACAACATTTGTGTCAAATTACATTTCGTTGTATAGTATGGCTACATACGTAGCTGTGGTCCCGGGATTGATCTATATGCTTCACGCTTGCGGAAGAATTGATATGCTGAAGAGGAAAGTATTGTCACTCTTTCCTGAAAACAATGATGTGGTCCCGGTGAATATACACTACAGTATGAAACTGATATGCAAAGAATTACAAGATATTTATGAGTAAGCATTTTCTTCAATTTGTATTTCAATATTTATTTTATCGTTGGACACATTCTAGCCAGATGGCCCGAAGTCTTAAATTAGCGATTGGTAGCTGGATGGCAAAAACAGGAGATCGTGCCTTGTAGCGAACCCTGAGTGAGACCTATCTCCAGCAGTGGACAGCTATAGGCTGATGTGATGATGATTTATTTTAGTGTTAAGTCTGCGATAACTTAGAATTTATATAAAGGTTGTTAAAATGACACTTTGGTAAATTATTGTTCCACAGTTTTGTGGACGACATTAACATTACTTCGAGTCTTGTCTACGAAGCGACGTTAAAAATATCATCGGTTATTATTCCAATATCAGCCTTAATTATCATTGAGGTAAAATGTTTTTGTAATATACTTTTACAGACAGATATTTTATTTCACGAATGCCGTTGGGTCATGATTGTACACAGCACACTGCCTACGTATGCAGCTCGCATGCATGCATATCGTAACGCGCGTGCTTGTTGTAACGATGGGACTGTATGAGATACGTCACACTGATTGCATCGGGCACACTCAAGCAGTGTGCTGTGGCTGACTCGGGCTCATGATTGTGAGATAAAACATCCGTAACCTAAAGACCGTTGAGAATACGGAAATTTGATCCATTTTGTACATTATGCACTCGTTCCAAGGATACCAGTTCTGTTACTAACCATGTTCTTTATTTAGGAACTGAAGCATGGAACAGTTAGCCTGCAATTTGTAGTTTTACTGGCCGCAACATTGCTCATTTCTAGTCTGCCATGCTACTATGGCAACCTGCTTATGATCAAAGTGAGTTTATTCTTGTTTACCGCGTATTATATCATCGTTATGTCTCATCGACAGCCGATGTCGCGCAGTGGAAGTGCAACTGCCTGCAACGCAGAAGGTTCAGAGTTCGATTCTCGGTGGATCACTCACAGAGTTATCATCATCTCTGTGTGAATTTATTCCTATTATAGTTAAAACATTGCAGACTGAACCAGCTGGTTGTTCGAAAAGAAAGATGGCTCTGTGTTCCGGGGAGCACGTTAAAACGTCGGTTCCGGTTGCTATTTTTAATTACTTAGACGCTGGCCGGTAGGACCATCAACCATGTTGCCCTAATTATTATTTTGCCTTGCTAATATTTTGCAGCCCAAATGTTATTTTGCCGACCAAATAAAAACTCTTCTCCCCTAATAATTTTGTCACTCGCTTTTTGTCGCTAAGCCGAAATTTTACGGCAGAGGTACCAAATTTTTTTCTGATTTTGCATTATGAATGAAAAACCCTGTCTTTTTGGTAACTGCAAAGTCACAATGTAGCCACGCTCTTTCAGTAAGCGGTTGTAAATTTTGACACCAGGGTTTACCAGTTCGCTGGACGACTCGTCTCGACACAAAGAGAGATAATCAATGTCCTGAACTAGTTTTGTATGGACGGCTTCTTATATCCGCAGTCTATGGAGCTACGCGAGGCGGTGTTTTTCAGCGGCTGGGAGCGTGTCTGGAACAAGTCCACGCGCACATCTTTGCTCGTCATGATGACGCGCATGCAGCGTGCTATCGCTATAAGCTCCGTGTTCTGTGTCATGAATCTTGAGACGCTCGCTGACGTGAGTAGATGATCTAGTCTAGAAATTGTCGGAAAATATACCTAAGCTGGTGAATTATGAATTATAAACTCTACCAAAAGGTGTAAGTTCGATGGTGGCCCAGTTGCGTGTGGATGCGATCGGCTGCACTAGGGATGTGTAGGGTGGACTTGAGCAATAAAAATAGTTTTTTTTATAATCGATTATTTCTAGTCACAAACAATCGATTAAAAATAAATCGATTTTTATTTAAAAAAACATCGATTTTTAATAAAAATCGTTTTTTTTGTTTTGCACCTTTAATTTTATCCAAAAACTGTTAGTGCCATTCACTTTTTTAATAATTTGCAAGATATTTTACATGATTTTACTAAATCTTAAGTTACACGCAGTAAACTTCATACAACGTCTTACAAAACAAAAATTAAGCCGACAGAAGGTCACCCAACGACCCGATGAACCCTGGTATCAGAGTTTTACAATTACCCACTAAAAGTACCGCTACTACACACAGTATTAAACGGTTCCTTTCTTTTCATGCCGGCAAAACAGTATTTTCAGTGTCATCTGCAGCAAAAATTAGGGATCTAAAATATTTAAGATCGAGAAAATTGGATATGGTGTGATATAGTTCATGCATAATCAAGACGATTGGTAAAAGAAGAAAAATGAAAAAAACGATCTTTAATTTTGGAAATTTTGAAAATACAATCGATGTTTTATTAATCGATTAATTCTACTCCTTAAATTAATCGTATAATCGATTCTTTTTCAAAGAAAAATCGATTATTTAAAAAATCGATTTCTTTTTCACATCCCTGGGCTGCACCAAACAAATAAAAAAATAAATATCACTGGACGAGACACACAGCGCCATCTATCCCAAAACTAAGCAAAGCTTGTATTATGGGAACTAGACAACTGATATAATACTTATATACTTTTTTTTTGTAAATACATAGGAAACACCCAGACTTAACACAAATATTTGAAAATTGACTTTACAAATATTTGTGTTCGGCGTGAATCGAACCCACGACCCTCGGCATAGTAGGCAGAGGTAGGTACTATCCACTACGCCATCGGGATAGTGTAGCTAACTTACAACTTTACAGAATAGTAGGAGATCCTCATCGTTTTTGAATTGCTTAACTACAACAGCCACACCAGTCCACTGCTGGGCATGCGAATTGGCGAGCGCAGTGTATGGCGTTGTATTCACTGTGTTCATCCCTTAGTTCCCTTCTACAACATCTACGGGGTAGAAATGGGGTGATGGTATCTACCTATTCTATGCCAGCACCACACAAATGCATTTAACTTATGAATTCCATATTTTTGTCTTAAATGAATTGGCTTGCCGTGTGATGCCGGCTTAGAATAGCATCACCCCCATTCTACCCGTGGGTGTCGTAAAAAGCGACTAAGGGATATTCATCCAGGGAATGGGCAGCAGCGTTCCCTGTAAATGTAACATCTTGGCACTGCGCTCGCCAATCCGCCTGCCAAGCGTGGTGAGTATGGCAATACCCCCGATAGGGGGAGGTCCATGTCCAGCAGTGGACTGTTGTGGCTGTTATGGTAAATGGCTTCTGTGTTGACAGAGGACAATGAAATGGGAAAGTTACTCATTCTCAAAATTATTAAATCTTGTAACAAACCCTACCTAATTATACACTATCAAACGTTAAAAAAATATTTGTTTCAGGTTTTCAAGACATCCTACAGACTGTTTAGTATACTATCAGCTGCGTGGACAATTGAATATTGATAAAAAAAAAACAATTTTAAATGTAATATTATCTTTACTAGCTTGCTAGCTTGATTTTGTTCTAGATTTTTTTGCAAAGATTGAGCTTTAAATACGTGTTGTTTTATTTCACTAACAATACATAAAAGTCTACACAAAGAATTCAGTTGTTCCTACTCTAAGGAAGGGCCACAAGCAACGTCCTTTGCTACACCTTTTTTTTGCGCAACGCTAACGCATGCGTCTGTCAGATGCATGTAAAGTTCCCATACTTAAAATTGACGTCAAAATAACGCAACGCAAAAGTTACCTACTTTAAAACAGCACAGCACAGAATCTTGCGTAGCGTTATATTAACACGAGTTTTTAGTATGGGGTACTCGAAAGGTATATGCACCTGAAAGACTGCTCTAAAATATTGCAGCTACGGAAATTAAGGGCCTTTACTACAAAAAAGTGACACAAGCGTTGAACGCGTGTATAAGGTCTTTTTTGAATGGAGTTTTGTCGAATACATGTCTAACTTTATTGTGGTAAGGCCCTAAGTGTGGCCCCTGCCTCACAACTAATCTTGACCCACAACTTAAGATGCGGGTCCCATTCAAGTGCTGGACTTATCATGATGACCTACTTACATAAGGAAATCTTGGATCTACTCGTTGTTGTTGACCTATTCTATTATAGTGTAGGTATTGTTTTATGTAAGTATTATGATAGTTTCCTTTTTTTGTGATGTAAATGATGTATGACTTACGTAAGTAAGTAGGTATAAAAATTGAAAGGAAATTATAGTAGATCTTATCTCTTCTTGTTTAGCTTTCAGAGGCACTTCAACCCTTTAAAACTATAAGACATTATAACGGGTTTTAACTCACGGTAGGGATATATCGGGTATGTTTACCCATGATCATGGCGATTGCAACATCGCCGAAATATTGGGTGCTCGATATATCCCTACCGTGAGTTAAAACCCGTTATAATGTCTTATAGTTTTAGTGATAATAACTACGGAACCTTAAAATCAAACTTCAACCCTTTATTTAAAAGAGCAACTTATACTCTTTATTTTTCGCATTATTTTAACCACTCTAACATGTTGATTTCTTTAATATTAAAGAAATTTATTGATTAAAGTATGAAGAGCTAAATACACACTAAATACACAACGAATTAAAGTAAAACTTAAAGCTAAAGGGGTCAGTCGAATATCTTTGGGTCTTTAATTGGGTATGACTATAGGTACCGGAGGTCTAATAGGACCTATTTTCATATTGTTCGAATCTTGAAGATTTAGATTCAACGTAAGTATGAAATGCATATCAAACGCATTCACAGCTGTAAAAATACTGTCGCTACAGTTAGTTTATTCGTTGGTTTATTCTACCACCTATTATTTTTCTGATTTCTTAATGTAAGTAATCTATCGCTACAGTATACGTCCGTGCGGTAGCCGTATGAGGTAAGACTTTGTCCAAGGGAGCTTAGTCTATAGGTACTCCTAAAAAAAGATAACTATCTACTGGAAATAATTTGAACTATCTTACAGTATCCACGTAGCTACGGTTACGTGAATAATCAATTATTTAGTTACGGACGCAAGAAGGCAATTCCCCAATTGAGGTGGTCTGTCCTGAATAAATTAGTATTTAATACTTTCGCTGCCGGTTGAAAATACATTCGTAAACTGAATACTGGGTGATTTTCACTATGTTTCTTCGGAAAAAACGGTTCCTTATCTATCAGTCACCCGGTATCGGTCACTAGTTACTAGCATGTAGTTAGTAGACTATTACCGTAGCCTGGTCGACGGAGAGACATTTTTAAGAACACTTCAACTTGACCTATTTTGGGTACCTACAAAAAAGTCACAGCATTACCCCATAACCTTCCCGTGTGTGTCGTAAGAAGCGAAAATGGGATCTGAGAGTTGATGTGTATTGCAACAGTTTTCTGAATGACTGTCAAACTTTTGTCAGCCTCGGTGTAAGTGGCCGTATTTTACACCTGTTTACGCTTTGTCTACCCCGCAAGGGATATATGCGTGATATATGTATGTATGTAGGTACTTGAACTTAACCAACTGGGTAAGTACCTACAAAAAAGTCCTGGATACCATCCAGTATTTTCGTAGTATGTTATGTGTGAAATATTTTTTAAGTCAGTATACGTAGTTTTCTGATACTTCCATATAAACAAAAATGTTTTTGTAAAAGATACAGTTATTATAGCCAGCAAGGGGTAGTGAAAGTGTTAAGGAACAAAGTTATTGATACTTATTGAACCCCAGGGGCCAACGTCGATGAAGATAGAAAATAGGTAAAATGTTGGTCGAACTTTCAATTTACTTATAGTCCGAGTTCTTAATTGGCAGTTTGTATGGAGGTATGGTCCCATCTGGCAGAAATCATGAAACTTGGCATGTGTGTAGCTTACATGTGTAAGCTTCAGGAAAAGAAGGGAAGCAAGTTGGACCCCCCCTGCTTCCCCCCTTTACACCCCCTTTTATGTCCCAAATTTCAGTTATCTTTATTTTTCTCGGAAACGATTAAAGATAGGAGAAATTTGTCAAGGTAAGAAATATTCCTTATAA